TTTCGGTCTGTCATCCATTTTGAGTGAATTTTTGCGTCCCGGGCAAAAAAGGGATCCGACTTCATTCTTTTGCATGTGGCTCTTCAGTTGTCCCAGCAGAACCTCTTGAAAAGACTATTCATTTCCCCGCTGATTTATCGTAGAACCCTTGTTGAAAATCAGCTGACCATAATTGCAAAAGCTTATCTCTGGACCCTCAATCATGCCCCACTGATCTACATGTCTATTCTTACGCCAGAAACACTCATTGTCTTGATGACTGTAAAGTATTTGAATTGGAAGTGTGAGTTCAGCTTTTGTCTTCTTTTTCAAGATTATTTGATTATTCTGATTTGCCCTTAGGTTGTTTTTTTTTTTTACATGAAATTGAACACCATGTTTGAAAACCCTGCAATATTCTTCTTTTTTCTTTTTGTATGTCTCTGTCAGCCAGTATGGTCAGCTTCCTCTCTATCTCTTTGCTACTTCTCAATTTCGCCTTCATCTTCCTTAGTGGTCCAGGCGTCTCTCGTTTCCCACTAGCCAAGTGTCCCAGCTCAGCGCTATTTACCATCTGAGGGGGGACATCTCCCACAATGTCCCCGATGAGCTATGCGTCCTGTAGTCCCCCCCGCACGTGACCCCTCCCAGTGGAATATAGACCGGCCCCGTGACACGCTTGAACCCCCAAAATGTGGGGTTGGTGATGTTCTGAGATTTCCGAGCCAGGCAATAGAAAGGTCTGCACGTCTGCTCTTTGGAAGCCTTGAGTGGCGTCGTAAGAAGTCCAGCCTACCCCGTGGAAAGAACACGCGAAGAGGCCATGTGGAGATGCCACGTAGGGAGATACAAGACTCGATGGAGAGGGAGGGAAGGCCAGGGGTCCCAGGGCTCTGCTTGAGCCTAGCTGCCCCCCACGCAAGAACTAGCCAGCTGAATCCAGTCAACTCAGGACCCGGAGAGATAGTACAACAGTGGTTGCTTTAAGCCCCTGAATTTTGTGGTCGTTTGCTACACAGCAGTAGATAACTAAAACAGAAATGCCAGCTAAATCTGAAGACAAACAGTGGGGTACTTAATCTAAGCCTTGGTTTCCTAATCTGTAATATGGAGCTGATGGTGACAATCACAACACATCATTCACAGGGTTTTCATGAGGATTAAGTGAGATCACAAATCTCTTAGCACTATGCCTGGCACAGAGGAGGCAGTTGATAAATGATAGCAATTTTTTTTAAAGATTTTATTTTTAAGCGATCTCTACACCCAACATGGGGCTTGAATTTACAAGCCCAAGATCAAGCCCCTCGCTATTATCATTTTCACTTAAAAAAAAAAAGTTCAGTCCAGTTCAACGGCCCTCATCCAAGCTGTGATAAGACAACTAGGAATAAAGATTCAATTCTGAGAGCCATAGATTTTAAGTGGAGTTTCCACAAAACTCAGTGGAATCACTGCCTTAGCTGGTGAAGTGATTCATTATAGCAAGTTTCTGTACAACTCATGGGCTAGTAAGAAAAAACAGAAATACATAAAAGAACACAAACACGACGACACATGCCCATGGCACAGCAGAAAGACCGGAAATTCCACCCGAATCCAGGGAGGCCGGAATTTATGTTCAGTCTGAGTCGTTGTGAACTTTGTGTTACAATCAGAGAATGAGCTGGAAGATTGTCTGATCCCTCAATTTATATATGAAGAAACTCAGAGGGTAAGAGGGTTCATGGTAGTTGATGATAATGCCAGACCAAGCATCCAGGCCTCTAGCTTTTCTCTTCTTTCAAACTTAACAATATTTATTGCTCTCTCATAATTTTACCCATGACTGTTGGTTTTTTTAAACATAAGTATTATTTTTTTAATGTTTATTGTTGAGAGAGAAAGAGGGAGGAGGGGCAGAGAGAGAGAGAGAGAGAGAGAGAGAATTCCAAGCAGGCTGCACACTGTCAGCATAAAGCCTGCCATGGGGCCGGATCCCACGACAGTGAGATCAATGCCCTGAGCCAAAACCAAGAACCAGAAGCTCAACTGACTGAACCACCCAGTCGTCCCCAAAACCACAAATATTGTACAATTGTAAAACTTAGGAAGAGAAGGTACCTAGTAAATTTCAGCTCCCAGAAATAGATAACTATTGTCAATAGTTGGTGTTTCTGGCTTTTAGTGAAGAAAGTTAATCAAGGTTCTTTATGAATATCACCGACAAATCTACGTTCATCCCAGAAGGAAGCAGGAGACTCATAGGCGGCAAGGACAGGAAGTAAATACCAGCCATTTCACTGGAGCCTTAACACACCCACGTAATATGACCTCAATCCAATGCAGCCTTACAAACGAGGCAATAATATAATAAGAGGCAGTGTAGTTTCATGGTTGGGGACACAGGCTTTGAAGCCAGTGCCAGATTCAAACCCAAAGCTCTGCTCTTATTAGCTGGGGTAGCCTTAAACATTTCCAACCTCTGTGAGTTTCACTGTCCTCATTTGGAAATCAGAATCAGCAATGGTCCCTACTCTGTGGACTGCAGTCATGGGAAAACACCATCGTGTATTTGAAGCATTGCACGTGGGATCCGGTATATATTGGAAGCTCTCTGTAATATGGATACCAACATCATCACCTTTCCTTTTTTGTTCTTGCTTTTTTAATTGAGGAATAAATAACATAAAACCCTATATTGGCTTCAGGCATACAACATAATCATTCAATATTTGTGTATATTGCAAAATGATCACCACGAGGAATCCAGTAACCTGTCATCATATGTACTTATGGAATTTTTTTCTTGTGATGAGGACTTTTAAGATTTACTATCTAGGGGTGGCTGAGTGGCTCAGTTGGTTAAGCGCCCAACTCTTGACTTTGGCTCGGGTCATGATCTCATACTTCACAAGTTTGAGCCCTGCGTCGGGCTCTGTGCTGTGTCAGCACGGAGCCTGCTTGGAATTTTCTCTTCCTCTCTCTCTGCCCCTCCCCCACTCACTCTTATTTGCTCTTTCTCTCTCTCTCTCAAAGTAAATAAACTTAAAAAAAAATTGTTTTTTTTTTTTTGAAGATTTACTGGGGTGCTTGGGTGGCTCAATCAGTTAAGTGTCCAACTTCAGCTCAGGTCATGATATCATGGTTTGTGAGTTCAAACTCCATGTAGGGCTCTGTGCTGACAGCTTGGAGCCCAGAGCCTGCTTTGGATTCTGTCTCCCTCTATCTCTATCTCTCTGCCCCTCCCTGCTCCCATTCTGTCTCTTTCTCTCTCAAGAATAAATAAACATTAAAAATTTTTTTTATTTTATTTATTTATTTATT